GTGATTCTTTAATACAGGGGTATTCAACTAAAATTTAAAGAGGTCCAGTTAGAGAAAAATTCTTCAAGCAAAGTTCCAGAAGAAATATTTAGTGATATATAATTACCGGTAAGTAGCCTATTAGTTGTATCAACATTGCATGTAATTAATACCTGACCGTCAAATCTAATTCAGTACAATTCAAAAACTTGACAATATTTATTGTCACGTGACATAGAACTGAACATATATGTATGACTGCCGATATGTATAATGTTCTCTCATTAATTCAATAAAAGTAGGACTGCATTTCAAAATAAGAGAAAATAAATAAAATGTGAAAATTGTGCATGTTTAAATAAAGTGCTTAATTTCAGAAAAATAAAATAAAAGGGAGGAAAGCTTGAATTTCCCCTTTTCTCATATTCATTTTATATTTGTCGGAGTAACAATGCAAACGGAATGACGAGCCGTTTCAGGCAAAAACAGAGCATTTTTTCTTTTCATTTAAAATAAAACGCGGGGTTTGCCAAGATTTTCAATTCAAGACGTCTGCACACATATGTAACAGTTCTTACCTTGTAAATACTCTGCTTTTGTATTTAAGCGTGTAAATACACTTTTGACGTAGTTCATTTTAGATTTATAATGGAATAATATAGATTTGCCATAAGATTTTCCGCATGAGTCTGACAGCGTATCATACCAGATGCTTGAGATCTGGCAACCCTGAAAACGTATATTTTTTGTTTCACCTGACTTCATTTATATAACAAATAACATTATTTTATACAGTTGTTAAAAATAGGAAACTTCAACGAACACAAAATCACCAATAAACTACGTCTATTTATCCAACATGTTATATACAGTGTTTGAAAACTTCAGCTGCAGGATTTCAGGACAGATCAGCCACTCTGTTAGGAACATTACGGCTTTTTGGTTATGGGTGTTAGCTTCGCTGCTCTTATTAACACTAATGGCAGTTTAGTGCACTGTTGCCAACTCCTCAGCAAGGAAAATAGCTATTGACTGTCCCAAAAGTCACTAAATGACGCCATCGCCTAATGTGCATAATGTGCAATGGTGCATGTACGGACGCTGTTGGAGTGAGGAATACTGTCCTGGGAGAGACAAAAAATGGTGAAAAACAAAACAAAAAACCCCACCCTAAATACGTTTAGAACTACAAATGAACTTTCTACTGTCGACTCTTGTTTTTTTTTTTTTTATACCTCACAATTTCAACTCTCCTTTATCCGGACTTGGGACCGACAAAAGTGACGCCAAAGAGACACACTGGCGGAGTTACATTCCTGACTAGGGCAGGATCAGCCAGCAGCGGCTTCGCACATGCGCGGTTCATTTGCAGTCTGGACACGGAGGGGCGAACATCTCCTGCTCTGACTGCAGCTGGGCGGGGCTGCTGCGCGAGGACTGTCCGCCTGTAAGCGCTTTGGGACGGGAGAGGAGCTCACGGCAGCGCCCGCTGCTCGGTGAGGAGAGTAAGAACGATGCGGGCTTTAACGTCAGAGTCTCCAATAACACCAGAAAAAGTCGCTAGATTTGTCCCCAGAGGGGTCTAAAAAGTCGCTAAAGTTGCCAACACTGCTACTACGTCTTGCTTGGCAGTTAAAGGCGTTTGACGTTAATTGGCGTGGGAGACGGCGGTTCTAGCGCTAAATCACTACCGAAAAAACTACAAACGCTGCGCCGATTAAATACAAGCGCCCCTTCAGGTTTTAGATCATAACTTTCCGTTTTGGCTATCGGTCCGGGTCCGAACCCAGAAGCTGTCCCATACGGACCCGGACCGCCTGTTAGTGACATCTGCTTTAACAGTTTAATGCTTTAAGTTTGACACAGTTGACTGAGATCGGCAGCGCATGCGCGACGTTTGTGTCTGTAAAAATCTCACCGTGTGTTTATATTCCAGTAAAACGTGTGACTGCCCCCCCATTTGCCCCGGTCGGTTTCCGCGAGGTGACATTCATTCCTACTCGCTGGCTCTGCTGCGCCCTTTTCAGGACTCAACGCTGGAACGCCTATACACACACACACACACACACACACACACACATATATATATATATATATATATATATATATATATATATATATACACACACGTATATATATTCAATTTATTTTTATATAGCGCCATTCACAACAGAGTCGTCCCTATGCCCTTTACATGGATGTTTTTCGTATATATATGTATGAGTTTCCTGTTATTCAGCTGCGCTGTGGGCAGAATTTGACTTATTTGTTTACCGATTATTAAAATCAGACTTGCGTACTATTTGCTATAAACAGTTTAAATACGACTGCAAAGTATGACTACAATTAATCAACACATTTCAGATTGGAGAACACAGAACAGATCCGTGGTAAATTTAATAAAATGTTAAGCCTTGAGTTTAAGCCGGATGTTACGGCACGATAGCAGTTTTCCCCAATACTTAAAAAAAGAAAAACTTAATATATCTTCAAAATATTATAGCCTAGCCCCCCGGTCCACGTTTACGCAGCTCCGTATATCAGGCGAACTCATGGCTGAGCGTAAGAACATTACTGTACTGTACGGACGTATATTTAACCTCTAATTATTTTTAAAATAATAAATCCCACTATATAAGTAGGCTGTGTTAAACATGCTTATTTTATTATTAGTTTGATCTATCGGGTATAATCTTACCGTGAAACGCAGAATATCTCACTATTCGAGAATCGTGTTCACGTCTCATTTTCTTGGTAAAATGGCGACTCTGCCTTTAAAATGGCACCACTTCCACTTTCGTTTACAGACAGGAAATGATCAGATTCGTATCATACAAGAAATGGACGCGGACTCAGCGTAGAGTTTTGGGGGGATATTATCCATGTGACTGAATAATTATTATCAATAAGAGTAATTCTGTTATAAACACATTCAGGATTATCATGCATGTAAAAAGCGGTACAGCACTAACACTTAAGTCATTAACAGTGACGACTTGAGAAATTTATAAATGGGGGTGCTCAAAGACAAAACTGTAATTGTATTAAAATTTATTAACTGGTGCAGCAAAGTTAAGGTTAAACTAAACACTTGAATAACACTTAAACAGGGCTCTCGAGTTTCATCTGCAGTTTGCAGTGATATTATATCCGTTACGGGCGGAGCCTGAGACCTGAGAGCCCCGCCTACCGCGTTCATCGGATCCTGCTCTACCACTCCCACCGCGTCTGCACTACGTGTACGCGCATCCATGTAATAATGTGTAACTTATTTTGGAATTTACCCGGAAACAACAAATGCTATTTTCTGGTTGGCTGGTAAGTCAGCATCTGAAAAATCTCCGTTTTGAGGGCTATCTTGAGGGCTGAATATGGAGTCAGAATAGTGCCATATGTACTTGTATGTGTACTTTCCAATTTGCACCCGTAAAAAGAAATTTGCTCGCACTGAACACAATTTTCATTCGCAAAAAAAATATTTTGCAAATGCAAGTCAATATTTTTTGTAAATGCGAAACCAAACATCTTCATAAAAATATTTTTTACAAAGATAGAATGGTTTTCAAGTACAAAATCTATATTGCAAATCCAAGTACTACGTTTATTTTTATGAAGATGTTTGGTTTCGCATTTACAAAAAATATTGACGTGTATTTGCAAAATATTTTTTTTTGCGAATGAAAATTGTGTTCAGTGCGAGCAAATTACTTTTTACGGGTGCAAATTGGAAAGTACACATACAAGTACATATGGTACTATTCTGACTCCATAGCTGAACA